TTTAAACTTTTAACGTTAGTTCGACGTACCCTTACCCTTAACTTAAATAACTAATACTAACGTAGTTAGTTACGTACTATTAACTAACTAACTAACTACTATATATATATATATATATATATATATATATATATATACATACACACAACAGACACACACACACTGAATTTTCCTCTTTTCTTTTTTTTTAAAAAAATTGATCAGGCCGAAATTTTTGAGGCTGACTGCAGCCAAAATGGGTGCACACATCGTAGTAAACCGTAGTAAGGCTTCACTACGCCATCCAGGGAAGTTTCAACTTTTACCTTTCGTCTTAGAGGTACCCAGTTGAGGCTGGCATCCCAGGCATAATTTCTGGTCACATGACTCTGAACCATAGTCGTCGGGTGCAGGTGTGTTCCTAGGAGCGGGAGCTGGCTCGAGTCCGCAAAACCGTGGATTGTTGGAAGCTCCTTGTGGTTGGGATCATCGTCTGTACGGTCTTATATCAAGGGAGCAATCCTTGTCACAAGGAGGCACGATTCCATGAGGAAGGAATCGCAGTAGTATGTTTTAAGGAATCGAGAATGATGCATGGGTTCACAGTACCATTGGGCACCAATCTGAATCAGTGCATATGAATCAGTGCCGAATAGAGAAAACATCATGTGCACTGCATCATACACTTGAGAACCGCACTTCAAACCTGCCGGGAACGAGGATCACAATATAGGGATCCGGGTTCCATCCAACATCCCTAGCTGGAATTGAGGGATCGAGGTTCCGAAGTGGGTCCATGACCTTTCCAAAAGGTTTCAGCAACTATGCTCTGAACCCTTTATCTCCTTCCTTTTCCTTTCTTCTTCCTTCGCTTCCATTCTTCTCCCTATCCATTGGGATCAAAGGCCCAGGCCAAGTTCTTGTTTGTGCTTACTTGAACAAGTGTGCTGCAATTTTATAGTGTTGTATTCTATTTTCTTTCCTCTGTATTATATTTGTATCTTATAAGCTCCATAGAAATGGCCTGTGAATATATATACCAAATTTGATAGACAAGTCCTAGCATGTTGTTACTAGTCACAAAAGATCATTGATCATTGTAAAATTCATCAAACGTAATAAGCTAATTCATGCCCAGCCAGTCATGATCTCACTATCCATGGCACATAAATCAAGTTCCCATATGCCCCCTTAATAGAGAAATAAAAGAACGGTGTCTTTTGTTGCATATCCTATTTCCGAATAGATTAGTGGGGAGCTCTTTGAGAACAAAACCTGTACTGACATAGTCAATTGGTGATCATGAATAAAAGACGAGATAAACTAGCATGTGCCCCCTAAATTCAATGATGGAGGCATTAGAGAAGAAGAATAGAAAAAAAGGTTTGTCAAAAATACCTAGATAATACCTCGTGCACCT